TTAAAAAAAATTACTAAATGATCTACTATCGTTAAAAAAAAAATAAATTGTTTAATAAAAAAAAAATTACTAAATGAAAAAAATTCTGATTGTAAAAAAAAAAAAACTAAACAAAAGAAAGGCCAAAAGTTCAAAAAATTCTGAATGTATTACGGTTAAAAAAATAAAAATAAAAAAAATTGCTAATCGTACTTATTAATATTAGCAAAACTTCAATTACCAGAAACTAAAAAAATTCCCTGTAGTGTAATTTAACGTCTTGAATTGTCTAACACTTGATCAGCAAATCCATGTTGATAAAATATTTTTAGTATATTACTAACCTAATATTGAATAGATTAGGCGTGTTTCATATTACACAATTCAAATTATTTATATACGGTAATCTAAACATGACCAAATTTTTTTAGTTATATAGATTTCCCGATAATATCCCTTAATTTTATCACCTAATCATTACTTAGTTAAATAAGTCCATATGTTATTTCATACAATATATGAGCATCAATTATAACAAAATTTTCAATAAAATGTATATAAATTGTGGTCATTTCTATTATTTTAATAGTTTTGTTTGTTTTATTCATGCTTTTATTCATTTATTTATTCATTCGTTTATTGTTTGCTTATTTATTTATTTATTCATTGATTTGTTTGTTTATTATTAAAAATTACTCAATTTTTTACACGTAAAGAAAAGTATTAAGAATACTAATTAAAAAAAATAAATATTGAAAAAATAAAGTATCTGAAAAATTAAAAATCACATATATGAGGTGGGTCGCCATGGTGACAGGGTCGCCAAATAATAATAATGTTGCACGAATTTTAGTTTATTTTTTAGTTTATTTTTTTTAGTTTATTTTAAAATATAGTTTATTTTTTTAAGTGTATAGTTTAATTTTATATAATTAGTGGGACTATAAACAGGAATAGGAAGATTAGGTAATGGGAGCTGGAAGGGCTCGGTTGAGGCTTAATTGGACAAAATTGGCTGATTGACAAAATTGGCTGGAGGACAAAAATGGCCGGATGACAATAATTGTCATTATGACAAAAATTGTCACGGATATTGGATGATATATAAACGGTGGCTTTCAAAGGATAAAAAAGCAGTTGGGCTTTTGTTTATTAATTGTAGAAATAGGATAGTTGGAATATTACAGAGCGCCGATTGAGGCAGTAATATTGTCTATTTGTTTGTTCGTTAATAAAAGACACCCGCTGATCATTTCTGATTTCTTCATAAAACACTGTTTATTAATTTTATCATTATAATTCGTGAATTGACGTTCACCGATTATCATCGATTTCATATACATTATTTACCGATATTTTACATTATATTGTTTACTGATTATTGTCTATTTATTTATTATATATACGCTATTTATATATTTCCTTACACTTTATTGTCGATTGTTAAGTGTTAACCGATTGTTATAAAATCGTTGTTTATCCTACTGTTACTACTCCCCGGACCGTCAGAAATCAGTAGTAAATTATTATTTTGATAATTTATATCTCATAATTGGAAAAGTTTTAAAATAAAAAAAAAGGATTTATTTAAATTACAAACTAAGAAACTTGTAAAATATTTACTACCTAGTCCTAGTGTTTAAATAATTCTAAGTATAATAAAAAAAGTGAATATAAATACATAAGCTAAAAAAAAGGAATTATTTAAATTACAAACTAAGAAACTTGTAAAACATTTTACTACTCTAGCCTTAGTGTTTAAATAAATCTAAAAAGAATAAAATAAAGAACAATTTTTGTTGAATGCATCATATAATCATCCAAATCGTCACTTACTAGCTGTTCATTTACTTTTACACTAGCTTGTGAATCTTCGCTTTCAAGAATTTCATTCAATTTTTTACTAGTGAAATCAAGTAAGCGACTTGTATAATATGCTTTAGGATGAGATTTAGTAGCTAGATCGCTATGCACAATTGGTGCATTTATAAATTCCATAATGTTGCTTTTTAATTCTTCATTAATTTTACCATCAGGACGGATAATCCAATTCTTAATAATACCATTCACTTCTGAAGTAGATGGCCTTTTCAATGGATCTTCATTCCAACATTTTTTCATTAAATCTACATAGCATTGTGGAGTATTTTCAATAATTTCAGGTCGTTCACCTTTACAAATACTTAAACTAAGTTGAAGATCATGTGCTCTATCATTAAATGGTGGTACCCCGGATGTAAGTTCCCACATAATCATAGAAAAACTATATATATCACTAGCTGGAGTATAAGATTTGCCTCTTAAAACTTCAGGAGCCATAAATGGTATAACACCATAAATACCATACTTTTTCAAAAACGATTTTACAGGTTGACATAATCCTAAATCACTAATATAAATTTTATCCTTATTCTTATCATTATGATTTAAAATATTACCATCATGAAAATCACAATGAATAAGATTATTTCTATGTATCTTACTAAGTCCAGAAATAATTTCGTACAACATATATAATTTTTGATTCCATTTATTTTCGACTATTCTTGTTAAATTTTCTCTTAAATTACCTTTATTTGCATAGTACATTACTACCATATATTTTGAAGTATTTGTATCTTCTGTGAATCCATAAACATCTATAATATCATTTGAAGATAAAACACTTGTATGATATTCCCACTATAAAAAATAATAATTATTATTATTAAATATAAATAAATTTAAAAATAGAAAATAATATACTATCATACTTCTTTTAAAAATTCATTTAAATTTTCATTTAAATTCTTGGGACATTTAAGAATTACTTCTTCATCTCCATTATTCTTTAACCAAGTAGCTTTGTATATAGTAGTACCAAATCCTCCTTCATTAAGATATTCAACATTTTTAAATTTGTTATAAGGAATCCACCTTAATTTTTTTTTAAGAACAAAATCATCTATAATTGCATTTCCACTTTTCCCAAATCTATAAATTTAAAGAATTAAAATTATATTATAGATTGTATTATAATTTACACTAAAATAAATCATTACTTACTCTAAAATTTAAATAGGAATTTAATGTAATATAAGTCTTAGTTTTTGGATAAATACATATAATAATCTATAATTTACAACTTACCAACTAAAGTCATAAATATTTTTTTAAATGAAAGAGTTAAATTAACAAATAAATATTATATAAAATATATAATAATAGAGATACTTACAAGCTAGATCATAAATATTTTTTAAATAAAGAAATTAGATAGTTTAAATTATATGTAAATATTATAATAATAAG